GAAGATGTTACTCCGATCCAATGCAAGACATTTATTATTTTTTTCTGATATAATGCAAGAAAGTAATCATAAGAAATATTGCAGAACTCTCACATTAAGTAATAGTTGTCACTCGTAATAGTAAAAGTTAAGTAAGTCACTCGTAAGTGTAATAGTTGTAAATATCACTGTTTCTTAAGTTACAGATCATGATATAAAAATTATACCAATGAGAAACAACTCTCAAGTTTTTATAAAATCATCAGTGCCTACTGTTTTAATAGCACGCATAGTGTCAAGTCAGGAGCTTATCCTAGTTTTCTGAAGCAGATCCAGTATCCTGCGATAAGTGACACTCAGGATACATTGCAGCAGCGGTGCCCAACCTTGTGCTTGCTGATTGTTTTGTATGTGCTCGCCAGCCCGATTAGGTACTATGAACAAAAGATATTTTAAAAATAACCATTCATTTATATTTCCTAATTGTTAAAATATGGTAAGCATTTATAGTCATAAGAGATATCTTGCAAGACGTTATGAAATAATTGATTGCTGACTGATGAACTTTATAGCGAACATGGAACCTTATTGCTTTATTCCGATGTTAGATAGCTCAGCAGCGGAAAATTACTTTAACAATTTGTAGAACTTCTTTCACCAATAAAGCAGTTTTGGGAATACGGAAACGAAAGTTATAAAGAATTGGACGATAATAATTGGTTATTCGATCTGTATTTCTCATGGATATAATAGCTAAACTGAACAAACTGAACGAAGGTCTCTAGGAGAGGGAAACCCTTTTTCAATTGACTGGGACTATAACTGCTTTTCAGATAATAAAGTAATAAGATTTTCAGATAATAAGTAAAATTTATGGATAAGTCGGACGGAAGAAAAAACTTTCACCCATTTTCAGAATTTATCAAGTCATATTAATAACCACAAGGCAATTGAAACTGAGAAATACTTGGAAAACCTAAATGCACTGAAAAATGATTTTGAGCTCTACTTCTCTGATTTCCATAAAGTTCAACCAATATTATTATTCATCTTAAACCCCATTTTCCGAAATTAATATTTCAGACGCATCACATAAGATTGGAAATATGTTTAACAAAAATGTTGGTGTTTTGGAAATGTACTCGCGATAGGCCAAAATGTGCTCGCAGTAGGCCAAAATGTTCCCGCAATAGGCCAAAATGTGCTCGTGAGAGGCCAAAGGTTGGGCACCACTGCATTACAGCTATTTGATAAAATTCTAGTTGAAAGTTATAGAGCAGTGATTCTCAACTATTTTTGCCCTATGCCCCAATTTAACCATAGCTAGACAATCATTCTTCCTCCTATTTTCCCAAACTCGAAAAATATATAAACATTTGTATAAATTTAGATCACTTTTTTAATGCGTTTTATGAATGAAACATGAAAAAACTCAGAATGTTAATAAATACCAAAACTTGAGTGAAAGTTGTTTACATATTCACGAACTAAAACTAGATACTTAAGTAAATAAAAGGCTGACCGAATTTTCTTTCCCTTGAAGATATAAAATTCTCCCTGATTGAAAGCCTTTGTAATATAGTTTTAGAAACATTAAAAATATCTAATTGATACATATTTCTGTTCTTATGTCGCTAGCAGATATTCTTACTTTTCAAACCTGACTGCAACTGACTTCGACATAGAATGTATACTCGATCAACAAATTTAAATACCATTCCAGACTTTTTGAACGTATTTAATATTTATTTGAACCTATTCACATTTATTTCTGAAAATTATATATAACCACAATAACATAAAATTTCACTTATCTGAACAACGAGAATAAGGCCAACATAATTTTCTAAACTTGAGAAAACTTTTATAATTTAAATACGCCAAAACTCAAACATAGGAGTCCTCATCTTCTCAAACGTAGCCAATTTGATAAATATCATTAATATCCGCAGCGAATTCAATTTCATTCACACCCAAAATCAATTTCGTAACGCAATAGTATCGCAAGAAGAACTGACTGCATTGAAAAACAAAAATGTATGGAATATCGTCCGCTGTTGCCATTCAAAAGCGATGCACAATTTTTTTTTACCACAGTTGTTACCAGACTTACTCTCGATGTATGTGAGAGGCAAAACATCCGTATTTCTACTTGTATATTTACCAACTCTTGTGACTAAAATACCCAATCTGAATTTATTAGTTTTTAGTTTTGGTATTCTGATTTTTTTCAAATTGATTCAAGTTAGTTTTTTTTTTTTTGCTAAACTTAATATCCGCTCAAACCAACATCGTCATTTCATTCTGTACTTCTTTCCTTCGAATGCAGCGAAAAAAATACGAATTGCAGTTCGTCGAAATAACAATGCAGAAAAAGATTTACGCTAAAACTAGAAACATATTTGTCTCTTTCTTGCATGATAAGGCAAACTCTATTGGGTTCAGAACAGACGAACAAATTATAGTAGCAGTAAATAGCATGAATACTACAGAGTGTCTTACTTACAATTATTTGTTGTAAAGAATTCTCTTCTTTCACGTTATACTTTATATCAAAAAAAATTCTTCAAAAATGTTGCTGAAAAGGTTCTTTTTCTGTTAACATATAAATTCTGTTTAACCTGGAAATAGTAACAACTGCCTCCCGTTTATGTTATTGCTGCTACTTCCCTTAGGCAAGCGTATACGAATGGTCGCATGATAATCTTAGATGGAGAAGTCAAGTTTGATGTCAAGCAGTTCGTTTGTTGATAGTTTTAAGAAAATATACGTACCGCAGCGATTGGTGGCTGAAAATCTTAGACTACAAATACACATAAATATTTACGTAAGGATAGCAACTGGCTTTAAATTCCTCACTATTTTCAGGGGAATAATAATTAAGAATGCCACATACAAATCTAGACTGTAATGTATGAAATATGTGCATGTTTTGGGCTGATAAAGTAAATAACAGATAAACTTAGTTATAATGATTTCATTCCTATGCATCAGAAAATGGCGACCAAATCTGTTATAAAGTGTAGTTCATAAAATGTTTTGAAAACTTATGTAAAATTTTACATTCAAATTTTACTTATTGAGACTGTTAAATTTCAAAAGATACGAAGGAACTGTTGTTTTAATTGTACGTACATGCAGCCACTAGAAAATAATTGTTATTTTATAACAATGCTTAGAAATGAAGTTGCTAAAAAAATGTGTAATTTGAGATTACTTCTGCAGCCTAAAATTACCATTTGGGGGGGGGGGAAACCCAGCGGTTTAACGCCATCTAGACCATAAATAAAACGGAGTTAGTTTGTATACGAAACCTGCATTTATTATAATAAATAATATAACCCTTATAAGGCTTGTTATTATAAATAGTAAGTGTTTCTTAAATTTTATGTTTCGTTTGTTATGTTTCGTTTTGTTTATGTTATGTTTTATGTTAAACATAAAACATAACTCCTTCCTTTTGTTTATGTTATGTTTTATGTTAAACATAAAACATAACATAAACAAAATATGTAATAAATATAAAATAAAAAATAAAATAAAACATAACATAAACATTTTATGTTTCATGTTTTATGTTTTACATTACGTATAAATGTTTTAAAAATAACAGAAGTAAGGAATAACTTATATGAAGACCTATGTAAAATATCTGTAAGATGAGAAGGAGTAACGTTGTAGCCTATAAACATACAAATGCGAATTTAGAATACCTTTTTATCAGAATGAACTTTCCTTTTTTCCCATCCACTAGTTGCTGTTTCTCAACAACGAAAGTAATGTTGTAGGATCATTTTCTGTTATTCCACTTAAACTAATTTATATCCTACAATGAACCTGGCGAATTCTCGCACAAGCGTGAATAAATTACCAGGACAAAAGAAAGGTGAAAAGTAACCATTTTTTAAATTCAAATAATTAACAGAAAGGCACGATCTTCGCGCGTAACAATGGCACTGTCAGCTTGCGATGAAGCTAAAACATAGAATAATTCAAGACAAAAATCTAAAACAAATTAATGCTGGATTAGCACGTTAACATATGCCTAACAGGTTGACTCACAAAAACCTAACAGGCGTGATGATAATCCGAAATGGCCAAAAGGCTTACTAGCGTAACAGCGAAATAGCAACGAAACTTTCGCTGGCTAGCGAAAACACGCTTTGAATAAACTCAGAGATTCACCCATTTAAATGCGCTCTTCACTTAATTTAAAATTTACATCCTGGCGAGAAAATGTGAGGGGAAGTTGAGAATTTCAGTAAAAGTTTCAAACTTAAACTAAATTTGTTATGCAATGTCTCTAATTATTTCACTAGTATCTCTTCATACTTTATCTTTTTCATATTTCAATTTATTTTGTTAAGCAATTTATACTGCAGAAAATACGAACGCTACTTTCCAAGGATTCCCGTATTTTAAATCTGTACATCTAAGATTTACTCTTTACTAATATCTCACGTCATAGTGCATATGTGTGCAAGATAGGAATACGACAGTAACATGGTAATTAGACTAGACGGAATGTAGAACACTATATAACGAGATTTCAGTTGGTTTAACAGTTTCATTAAAAAAAATTCATAATAGTTTGCTCCTCTAACGCAATGCAATAAAATGGGGCGGCCATTTTATATTGATCCTGCTTCCTCCTTTAGCAATGCAACATTACATTGCCATTTGTTCGTCATTCCTTAAGCCTGAAATCATTTTAATTTATTTTATTTTATAGCTGTTTCATACAAATAGGAGTATATTCTTATGTTTAATACAGATATATCTTTTATATGCAAACGTATTTGCATGCCTGCTTGAATGTCATTGAGTGAAAAATTTAACCTTTGTTTGTAGTTGACTTTAGGTGAATAAACTCAGTACATTTTAAGAGGCAGAATAATAATTCAGTTAAAATATATATTCATAAATTTAAAATTCAGTTCTTTGAATATACAGGCATTTTACAATATTCATACATTACATACATACATACATTATATTATACAACATTCCTTCCTCTTCAGATCGTAACTATGACGTCATGTCTGAGTGTGATGCTCTCATACGCGGCCAGGAAGGCTGGATTTTTACTCCCAATTACCCATCTGATTATGGCAATTATCGAACGTGTGATTACGTGATCCAGCGGCTAACTCCAGACACATGTCGTGTCGAGATGACTCTGAATGACTTCGATTTAGAAGAAAGTGACCATTGTTTGGCCGACTACTTGGACTTAAGAGATGGCCAACAAGGTGTACTTTGTGGTGCTCTGGCTTCTGGAACTAAAAGTGAGTTCGAAAACTATTACATATATGTATATCGCTTCTGCAAACTTTTTTTATAGGCAGTACTATTCCTAAACTGAAATATTTAGATGTATGGAGCACTTGAAATTATTCAGCAATTTAATTATAAATTTTATTTAAACTTAGTATTAATTCGTCATAATGCTAGTAACTCGCGTTGTGCCCAAGTCATACTGAAAGTTAATGTTGCCAATGAAAAACACTTAACTTTCAGTATGTAATAAAGTCATAAACTAACGTTGCGCCCATGTCATACTGAAAGTCAAGTGTTTATCAATGAAAAACGAGTCAAATAGTTACATAACATTAAGAAACACATATTAATATATAGGTGTAATCGTAAACTTCAACAATTGCTTTTATGTATTTTACTATATATATACTTTTACTATATATACATACTATATATTTAGTAAAATACAAACTATATAGTACGTAAAAAGGAATAAAATATAAAAGTACAAAAATGCAGTGCCTAATAAACAAAATATAAATTGTACATATGATCAAATGTATGCATGTACATATGATCAAATGTATGCATGCAAATCAAAATCGCATGGTATTTTTGACGTACATTAAACTATTTAAGATGCATATAAAATATATATCACTATACTTTGAAAAAGTTTCCTGTTCAAACTTGAAAAATCTTCCCAGTTTGTCTTTAAATTCTAATCATGAAAACATGCACGACATTAACGAATCAAATTATTCATATAAGTAGACTTTGAAGCTTGGAGAATTTTGATTTTTTTAATGCATTCTACTATCATCCTAAGAAGAATTGACCCAAATTTGGAAATATTCGGTAAGTGTTCCTCTCGATTGTACCGAAAAAGATTTTTTAGAATATTTCTTCTCGTAAACACAGAAAATGACTCCCCAAACTACTTTGGAACTTATTTTGCCCAAACTTACTTGTTATTTAGTAAAAATATAGCAGTGGTCTGCTATCATTGATTTAAACTTGGCCCGAATGATATCCAAAACCGCAGCACTTTTGCAATGAAGAAAACATCCAAAACAACAATTATAATAGAGAAATGCTATCTTGGAACTTCAGTGTCGCAGCCCGAAATACACATAATGAGTTTTAGCCAAAATATAAATATTTTTTTCTTTCTTACTTATATTCGAATTATTATTATTAAGGTATTGAATAAGAAAAATTTAGTTATACATTTAAAACCAAGTGTAAAACTGATTGAAATTTGGCTCAGATTCCACATTTTAGCCCCTTGGTATAGATTCTAACATAAGGAATTAAGTTGTCATGCCGAAGATGCAATTTCTGTTACGTCATCTTAAGTAGATTTAGTAAAATTCAATGAATCCCTAAAAATTTACTTTTAATGTTGAATATTCATATTTTATTGTGCATTCAGATAGCATAATAACATCTGGTTAATTATAAGAAATTTCATTTCCATATTAAAACGCTCGTTCACACAGTAGAAATAAAAAAGTATTTATTTTTATTTTATAGTTTTATTTTCTCATTACTGCTTTTTTAAAAGCCATTAAAACTAGGAGAATTATCTAAAATCACCATAATTACATTTAAAAAGGCTAGTTTTATTTTTTAGTATCGTGAGGGTGCATCTAGTTCATGATAAGCTCAAGTAGACAGGTATAAGAAGAGACTAATCGATGATTTCAGGTGAAATCGTTTGTAGATGAAGACATTTTGTATTTGATTCCAAAATGTATCATGCCTTCATCATACTATAATGAAAAGAACATTTAAGAAAATAAAAGTCAATAGTTTCATTTGATATCGATCACAGAATACATATTCAGAAATATCCATTTCTAAAAAATAAATGATTTTTGAAAAATTTTAGTTTTAGAACAGTGATATTGAATTTTAAAGGAATTAAATTAATGATTTTAAAAATAACGTAGCAAATGTTTACTTTATTATAAAATATACTACACAGTCACTACGTTTCCCAAGTGTAAAATCTGTATTTTCTGTACCCAGCTGTAAAATCTGTACCATTTCTCTTCTTAGAGCAGTTACAGTATCGCTCAGGTCAATATACTATGACTTTGAGATTCAAGAGCGACAAGGAAAATACAAGGAAAGGGTTTATGATCCAGCTGAAACAAATTCCAAGATCATGTGGAGCGACCAACCTTCCAAGTATGTAAAATTTTCTGCTTTCACTTGATGTTGTAGTCTTTTAAAAATTGAGTGTCCACATTTCTAACTATTAATTCTTTTCGGAAATTTATCAAGAAAAGTAAAGTTTATAATTTTATTTTTTTCGTGAAATCGGGTAATTTTCCAAGATATATTTCGAAACATTTTCCATAAAATGTCTAAAAATTAATTTCAATATTTCATTCATAAATATGCCGACACTGATAAAAATATTTACTTATATCAGAACGACAGTAAAAATTTTTTAAATTCTCGAGTTAGAGTTTTATAAAATATATAGAAGGCAAACAAAAGGAGTTATCCCTGATTACCCTAAAACAATTCTTGTAACGTTTCTTTAAAATCAAAATGTCAGTTATAGAGCCGCTGATTGATTTACAAGTAAGTAATACGTAGAACGATGATTTTATAAAAACTGCTTGGGAAACAGTAATAAATATAGCAGTGGTCTTTACGTTACGTTAATATCTTCTTATTGAAGTAAGCGAAAGAAGAAGCGATAACTTTGTGCCGTTTTCCTCAAGTATCTTCGAGAGCCCTGTTTTCGGAGGTAAAACTGTTTTAAACATGTTTTCAAAAAGGAAGAATACAATAATTCAATTATTTCTGATGATAATGTTATGTTAGTCCTTAAGTTACGTTAATCTACCTTAGTCTTTTTGAATGCAGCCAAAATAATTTTGATTCTGACTCTGCCGAAGATAGTATTTAGAAAAAATGCATGATAAATACTGTAATCCGAGAACTTGTGTAGTCTTCTAGCTGAAAAAAAATTAATAACTGATAGACTGAAACTAAAAAAGGCGGATTACAGCCAGTGCATATATAACGCGATAAGAAATTATCAAATATCTGTGTAATTTTGTAAATAGCAACTGCTTTGATTATAATTAAAACTAGATTTAATTCTCCTTAAGAGCCGATCTCTTATATTTATAAATACATGAAAATTAATTATTATAGATAAATTTATTTGTGTTAAGGAAGAGCTTAAGATCATCTAAGTATGCTACTCGCAGTAACACAAACTTTGAAAAAAAAAATCATTTATCTTGTAAGAAATGTTATTTTAAATTAACCAGTTTTGTTCAGTTACTTAACTTTCCTGTTTTCCCTCATTTCCATTTCCTGCCACAATCACATTTTATTTTCGCGTGGTATGCAAAGTAGGGTAGAATGATATTATTTAAGCTGAATTTCTTCAGATAGAGTGTGTTCTGCCGTTCGTCCACGTTGTTTCGCTGAGCCGTGCATTTTAATTGCCGTTTTGTGTACGTCGGTGGTGGGACTAAGACCCAACTCGCGTTAATTATCTATGTACAGCTTCGTCTAATTACTTAATTTAGTTTTAATTTTATACTTCTATTTTGAGTTGCAGCCAAATGTACTGGCTATGTTCGCAAGCACCAGGAGTGCCGTCTGTAAATTATTTCTTGAGTTAAATAAAAATGTCTTTTCACCTTTTCCACGTCTTGTCATTGACACAATTTGAACTTAGGGAATTGTCGTTTCACTGTTCAAGTAAAGATCTAACCAATAAAGTCAAGTTAATTTATCTAGTATCTTATAATCTAATATTTCTTATCTAATGATTCTTATCTTCGGAAACCATTTATTTAATACTTCTTATCTAATACTTCTTTTTATCTTCGCAATCTTCTTATTTTATCTAATGTTTCTTGAATCTTTATATTAATTAACAGGGCCTAATGCCTGCAATCAGTACATCGACACATTCACCAGCAGCCTTAGTTCTCCAGGCTATCCTAATGGTTATGCCCCCAATCTCCGCTGCTCCTACACCATTCGGAGAGCTGATTCCAGAATCTGCAAGGTACTTCTCGAAATCCGGCTTCTGGATTTTGGGCGACATACGGGAGGACCTTGCAGAGGTGACTATTTAGAGTTCCCGGATCTGTCCAGGACGTGTGTTGGTTATCCATCAAGAAGTAAGTCCAGTTATCGTAAAAAAATAGGATTTTGCAGTTTTATAACTTTTCAAGTATTTACAGCATCACTATTTCTTTAACTTAACTAATTTATGATGAAATTTTTGCTCGGATTTAGAAATAACTTGAAACAAAGGAAATTACAGTAGGAAGGTATGTCATATTATGGGGTTTCCTTAACTCTAGTAAAAGTTACTCAGTCCCAAAACATTAAGAGACGTGAAGTGAATTAGCGATATATCTTAAATTAACTACAGAGTAAGTCAAAGAAATGGTTTAAGTAAACATTTTTATTTCAACAGAACTTAGAGCATCAATGTTTTTGAGCTAATAAAATCAACCACAGCTCGTAGTGATGCAACTAAAGGAACATAAAATTTCAAGTTAAGACGTGACATAGAAGTCAAAGATTATACAATTAAATTTTATTCTAAGCTGGCTCAGTAATTCTAACCGGAGTATGAAATTCAAATGCCGGCAGTAATAAATACTGTCTTAAAATCCAACAAGAGTTTAAATACTATTTAACTTTATTTGCATTCTGGTGAGGAAAGGGAAAGCAAAAGTTACAATAAAGGCTCAACTTATAAATAACTGGTTATTTTAAATATAGCCTGGTAGCTCCATTTTGAATCAATAAATGTAATGACTCGAAACACATATATATATATTTGCTTCATTCGGAAAGTCTAGGCTATTGTTTTCAATAAATATTTTAAAGGTCTATCAGAAATAATAATGATATTCAAGTGACTGTCTCTCATTCTGAAGATTTTAATAAGCAATATATGATGAAATTTTTTATGGTGTGCATCTAAAACCTCGGTATGGAATATAACGTGTGAAAGCTGAAGGCGCAGATTTTGGATTATACGGAGAATAAATTAGGATCTCATCCACCTGCAATTCATATCTGACATCCTAAGATGGATGTAGCTAGGATGTAGCAAGCAGGAAGACAGGTTTGATAATAGATGCAAATCTGTCTTCTTACAAAATTAATAGTAAAGAGCGCTGACGTGTAGTCACAGTTTATCCTCCAAAACTTAATGGTCCTCATTCGGAGTTCCAAAGCATTTCCAGCACAAAAGTCTTTCACAGTTCTACTATACGAGAAGAAGTTCCCAGAACTTCCTGCACTGCATCTCTTGTTTTCTTTCTGATAGGGCTTAATATGTTGTCGGCATGACTGGATTATATGGTAATACTTTTTTTTTATCGTTAACGTTAATAACACTCGTCATCCCGATCAGGTGGATTTTGCAACAACCTGCATCAGATAGCAATACATTGTTGAACCTGCTTAGGTATCAAATCATGAGTAATCGTTCAGTGGTTCTTCCAGAAAAAACCATAGTGGTTTAGATGATGAATTATGGTATTCGGTAGTATTCGATTACGTCATCTGTTTGCCAAATATAAGGTAATCGACCCAACGTTGGGTATCTTGGGTAACCTGGGTGAAACTGATATACCCGTACTTGAAGCGACGAAAATATTTTCATGAAATGCTATAGTTTTTGTTTTTGTTTTCATCTCATCTAAATAATTTGCTGTTCTGAGTTGGATTAAGTTATTTTTAAATCTACAGTAAAAATATGCTCATGAATATTTTGTTAGCAGCAGCATTTACTGTACTTGAAACAGTAAATTAATTTGGAGAATTTTCTTTACAAAGCGATGTATTATTTTTAAAACGTATGCTTCTGTGTGCTTATCACGTATGCGCATATGTACACTAATACAAACCATAAGAAATTTTTGTTCTTTTTATATGTAATAACAAGTTTTTTTTTAGAAAAGTATTTAATAATCTTTTTTAATTCCATCTAAGTAAAATTTGTAAGTAAAACTTTTAAGCAAATTTTTTCAGTTTTGTATAATGTATCTGAATGTAAATCGGATGCATTGGCTCTATTTTACCTTCACCTCTAAAGTATATATTTGTATTTGAAAACAACTATTTCAAAATCGAGAATGAAATATACTAAAGGAAAAAGAACTGCCTTTGAAAAAATTACCAGTGCTTAATAAACAGTTATATATTTACAGAAATTGTAGATTTTCTGCGTGGGAGTGACCTTTTAACATTTACCTTTGTAACTGATGGTTATGGGTCAGGAAAGGGCTTCGACATTGAGGTTCTTCAAGTGCCAGATTCTTGTACAGCCTCTCCGATACCACCAAGACAGCCAGGATCAGGTAAATTCCGAAGTTCTTTATTTCTTTTAGATAATATAAATTTCTGCCAATTCATATTCAAAAGATAGGTTTCCACAGAGAGTTTTCAATAACAATGGTATTCCTAAAATTATAATGCAGAGAATTTAAAAAAAAAATTTCAAGACTGTAGAATAACTCGTAAGGAACACAAAATTCTTTAGAAAAAACAGCGTTATTCATTTAATCGTTCCTATAAAACAAACGGATTATTTTTAGGCAGAAGTTTTAAGAGAACTTGTCCAAAGATCTGAGAAACCGAATTCTAAAAAAAATTTTTCTAGTAAGGCTTGAAAATGTATGGGCCCACCAGCGGCCGAGCGGTAACTTCGCTGAACACTGGTAGTTCGGTCCGAGGTTCGAATCCCGTGAACGGGCTGGCTGCATGGGCGTTGGGCGTTATCGTGGTTTTCCCCATGTGTAACGTGTATACGAGCCAGTTTCACTTAGAAAGTCTCCACGAAGGCATCCCTCCCTTAAGGCAGATAACCCTCGAGTGCTTTGCCGTAATCTAATAAAACCAAACCAAACTTGAAAATGTATGACTAAGATTCCTTGAAAGAGAAATTCGTACAATGTTAATAAACAATAAAAACCAATTTGTTAGTTGAATAATATTTAATTTTAATACACAGGTTAATTATTGTATATCAGATTTATATCATCATTTTAGATATAATAGATATAGCTTTTAGATTAAAGAGAAAAACAATGGCACCAACTCCATATATAAATTGGTATATTACTAGACATGGTTGCTTTCCCAGATACTTCCATGAAAAAAAAACTCTGAAAGTGTTCTGCGTATGTGGACATATGGAAAATCCTATGAGCACTACATTTTTGATTGTCCCATAACAAAGTGTCTACACATTAAAAAGACAGGATCAGAACCTGGATGTCTTTTTAAGATATGCAACAGCCAATAAATATCTTCGAAGGAAAATTAAAAAAAAAAATCGTGAACTTAGCAGGAAAAGGACAAAAATTTTGTGCCCCCGTGTAATAAAAGCCCCCTCACACTCTCCCGCAATTTGCCATATTAAAACTAGCAAATAGTACAATAGCGCATATCATCTACAGAATTTTGTGTATAATTGAGTACAACTTCAAAATTATATGATATTGCAAATTAATTTACATTCACTATTGCATGTATATAGTACATAACAGTGATACATAAAATTGGATTAATTAAAGTTTAACTGTAATAATGTGAACTTTAGCGAACTTTAAAGTTTAACGAGCCTTAAGTTTAAAGTTCCTTCTATACCATTCAAAACATTCAAATTTCTTCTGACATTTTTTAAGTAATAATAATAATAATAATAAAAATGATCAATACATTTTACGATGGGAAACATATTCAGAAAAAAGAAAAAGCAAAACATTGATGACTCTCTTTTTATTAAAAGTGAATTTTTTACAGTTTTCTCTGCGAATACTACAAATTAACCTTTATTTACTCTACGAAAATAACCTCCCTCCCACTATATTTTAAAATAACGTTGAACGTTCGATGACAGCATAGTTCTGATAAGAAATCGTTTGTTTCTGATGAAAGTGAAAAGAAAAATACCTAATTAAATATAATGTTTTATATCACGGTATAGCAAGGAAAAAAAAAAAAAATAATAATAATGATCTATTACTGCCTATGTGTTTTCCTGCATACCAGTAACCAACAAAATGGATGTAAACCTTGACTGAAATCAACTAGATATGACTATTTTATAATTATGACATGACTATATATGACTATTATTATCAATTAGACATGACTATATATGACTATTATACACTCACGTTTGTGAAAATTGCAACACCATGAAGGACTTACGCGAGTGAGCTGAAATTTTCAGGAAATGCAAAGTAGCGCATGATATGCAAATGATTAGAATTGCAAATCCGTAGCGCATGCGTATGCTGAGCAGCGCCCTCTGAACGGCTGATGGATCCGAATAAATAGACGGCTGTAGCGAGGCGTGTATGGTTATCGGTGGTTATCTGCTAGTGGTAAACGTTAACTCAATCTGTACTTATGCCTCGTCGACGAAAGAGAGCGAGATTTGAACAACTTACAGAGTTTGAACGAGGGAGAATCATCGGCCTTCGTGAAGCTGGATTGTCGTATCGTGCAGTAGCCTCTCGTGTGCAGCGTAACAGCAGCACAGTGATGCGCGTTTGGAAGCAGTGGACGGACGAGTGTCGGACAACTCGGAAATCCGGGAGTGGACCCCGAAATGTGACGTCAGCTCGCGATGATTGACACCTGGTCCGCATGGCGCGGACGGACCGTACAGCTTCCTCTAGACAATTGACAGCACTGTGGTCAATAGCTACAGGTGTTTCATTGTGTGCTTCATCAATTCGTAGACGTCTGCTGCAGTGTGGACTGCGCGCACGGACTCCTTTATACAGGATCCCCCTAACGCACGACCATTGCCGCCTGCGGCTACAATGGGCCAATCAGCATAGAGACTGGCGTGCTGATTGGCAGCATGTCGTGTTTTCTGACGAATCCCGCTTTAATTTGTGGTACCATGATGGCCGCATTCGTGTCAGACGCTATGCCGGTGAACGCCACCTTCCGGAGTGCATTATCGAACGCCACAGTGGACGAACACCCGGAGTTATGGTCTGGGGCGCCATAGCATATCATAGACGATCTCAATTGCTACGAATTGTGGGCAATCTGAACAGCAACCGGTATATCCGTGAAGTTCTACAGCCCGAAGCTGTTCCTTTCCTTCAAAGCTTGCCAGGCGCTGTATTTCAACAGGACAATGCCCGCCCTCATACTGCTCGGATTGTTAAATCCTTCTTTGCAGCGCAGCAGGTACAGCTTCTTCCTTGGCCTGCGTGTTCCCCGGATATGTCGCCAATTGAACATGTGTGGGATGTCATTGGTCGGCGTCTTGCTCGTGATCCTCGTCCTGTTGCGTCTGCAGACGAACTTTGGGTACGCGTACAAACGATATGGAATGCTCTTCCTCAGTCAGACATTCAAACCTTTGTTTGACTCCATGCCACGTCGTGTAGCAGCACTTATTGCGGCGCGTGGTGGCCACACAAAATACTGATTCTGATCTCTTGTTCTTGTTTGTTTGCTTTGAACATTTAATCATTTATTTGTACCACTACCACTCAACTGTGTATTAAATTGCATTCAATTATGACGATTCCTTCTTGGTGTTGCAATTTTCACAAACGTGAGTGTATTATTATCAATTAGACATGACTATACATGACTATTATATTATTATCAATTAGACATGACTATATATGACTATTATATTATTATCAATTAGACATGACTATACATGGCTATTATATTATTATCAATTAGACATGACTATATATGACTATTATATTATTATCAATTAGACATGACTATATATGACTATCATATTATTATCAATTAGACATGACTATTATTATAATTAGCAGTAGTTATGCAGTTTATATGTATGGGAATTACTTCAGTGATTTATTTAGCATTTACACTGTGTAATTATTCTGTATAATATGATAATTAAACTCTTTCCTCTCATTTTGCAATTCCGTGTAATATCATGTCCGACCTTAAGAAATTCCAGTCCCAAAATATAACCCAAAAAAAGAAATAGTCTTATTTTCGAGGGAATTCGGTAATTTGTGAACTGTATTTACATATTCGGTAACTTAATTTGTAAGAGGATGGACATGAGCTTTATGGAAATGAATTATAATATCGAATATATAATATATATTCGATTGTATAATAAATGCTTCTACCATAGAATGTTTATCATTAAAATAATTTGCATATTTTATTAATCATGTCTGATACTTACTGGATCATATAAAAAGCGTAGTTTAATAAAAAAAAAATATATACATTCAATTGATTTTACATGTATGAACGCATCTTTTTACCGACAACATCAAATGTTCCTAGTAAAATCTGGGTTTGCTTATAGTGCATTAATGCAGTGTAGTTTTAGAGCTAGCTAGATCTGTCTCCATATCCCAAACCTAATGCCACTGAAATACTAATTGATAATGTCTAGTTTGAATTAATCAGGTATTTTTGGATACTACAATCTGTCTTCTGTTATATATGTACTGTTAAATATAAGTAAGGACATGATATTACGCGGAATTGCAAAATGAGAGGAAAGAATTTAATTATCATATTATACAGAATAATTACACAGTGTAAATGCTAAATAAATCACTGAAGTAATTCCCATACATATAAACTGCATAACTACTGCTAATTATAACAATAGTCATGTCTAATTGATAATAATATAATAGTCATATATAGTCATGTACATTCTCACATTATGTTCATACAATTATTAAGTTTATTACATAACTAATACGTTATATCATGTAATTATTACGTTATATGACTACGGCTCATTTGCATTTTTGTCACCATATGTTTTACTGATGACATTTCTTTTCGTATCTAAATATTCTGACGCGAAATTTAATCTGCTACTTCTGACTGCATTGCTTGCATACGTGTAGTATCACCTAACTTATTCCATTATTTTTCGCTTGTAGGATCTGAACAATGCGACCAAGAAGTCATATCAGTCACAGGCCATTTTACTTCTCCCCGATTTCCCAACAGCTACGGCCCCAACGAAAGGTGTCGATTTACTATCAGGAAAGTTGATCCTTCCGTTTGCAGTGTAGAGTTGGATTTCAGACGATTTGATTTGGAATACAGTGGGTCTCGATGTAGCAAGGATTATCTGACTTTACCAAGCCTCAACAGGTTATGCGGAACCATCAGTGGAAAACGTAATTTAGATTACTGTTCAGTTGTTTATATACTATTTAGTTTGCACATTCAGACGCTTTTACTTTTATCTTGCAATGTATAAATAACACCCACTTGCTTTCTATAATCTTTTTCAGAGTTGATGGAACTGCCAAAAGATAGCGATTATGTCAACTTATACTTCGTAAGTGATGGATATGGTCATGCACCAGGTTTTGACATTCATGTAACGCAGCTGTTTAATACATGTGATGGATACGGATTGCAAGGTATTAACATTATTAATATTGTTCTCAATTTGTATCATAAAAGTTTCTTCATGACTTCCATCATCTTCCTTTCAATTCCACCTGTCTAACTCGTCTTTAACATTGTCATTCAGCTTTATTCCTCTCATCGCTCATCATTTTACTTCAAATCAAATTTTAGTCTATCTTTTGACACCTTTTCACTAGGAAACCACTCTTGCATATTCTGTGACTGGCATTATCCTATCAAGATCTATATTATGAGTTTAATTACTTCTACTATAGATTTTATCCTTATTTTTGTATGTCATTTGACGTTGAAAATAACATGTGGTTAAAAAAATGTCTTTTAAGTGGTTATATTTCACCTATAAAAACTTGATTAACATCCCCATATATTCGTCAATTTCCAATTATTTTTAAATTTTAAACTTTAAAATTTAATTCCATGCAACAAAATTGACTTTGCAGGTAAACATATGATTAGTAATTTTAAGATAATAATTAAAGAATTTTATATAACATTTTGAACCTCTCTCATATTTTACATGATATTTTATGAAGGTCTTGTATTATTTAACCACCATTTTTAAATAATTAAATAAATTTGTTTCTTCTATTTCTTTCCGATTTATCATATTTCCCGGCCGATAAGACGCACTTTTTTACTACAAATGCGCCATAAAATGAGCCTGCGTCTAATCAGCCGAGCATATAATTTCATCCACTGAAACGGAAGCTTGTTCGCCTACGTCTACACAGATTTGTTACTTTAGCAATCAATGGATTCTTTGAAGTTCATCCAAGCCAAGAATTTTACTTCTAGTTTTTTTCCTGTTTTAATGTGTCGAACGATAGAATAAGAAACGCTTTATTCATAGGTAAAATTTAATGTTTACAGAATTATTTCTGGCTTTCTTATACGAGTTCTTTCGAGACCACATCACCTACATAGTATGATTTTAAATGGCAACCGCATAATAATCCCAAACTTTAGTAATCGAGGCATGCTGTAAGAGGAGGTATTACACGTAGTTTTGATTCTTGGTGACATATATCACAAAAGACAAAATGCATTAATATATAGTAATCTTAATATAGCTTATGACAATACTTTCTGGTATAAATAGGACCGTGTGATCAGGAAGTTGGTACATTCACGGGAAGTTTCACGTCACCTGGATATCCTTCCTCATACCCTCCAAACCAGAGATGTACTTTCAGTATCCACAGAGCAGATCCAACTGTTTGTTCAGTTGAGCTCAACTTCAAAAGATTTGACATCGAATTTTCCAAGGACCAATGTTCTAAAGATTTCTTAATGCTACCGGATCGATCTAGGCTTTGTGGCACGATTGCTGGTATACGTAAGTAATTGCTTTTTATCTTTAATTTTATTTGAGTCTGAATTGTTTTTCAAAGCAAAAAGTTGAAATTTTTTATTTTCAGCAACAGGATGGTAGAATACGTTTTTGACTTAGCAATATTATCAAATTAATTAAATTTTAATTATTAAAAACAAATTTCTTCTTTGAATTAAAACCAAAATTGCACATTAAAATAATTATTTTAAAAAGTCAAATATTCTAATTAGTAAATAAGTTTAATTTTAAAATGACATACTTCCAAATTAAATTTAAAACTGATAATCAAATTGGAAGCGTCATCCAAAATTATATTCATATTATTATAATGTAATCAAATAAAATATAAACTAATAATACACAAATATAGCCACATTATTCATTTTACTTGGAAAATTATTAATGCCATAGATAAATACACGTTTAATTATCTGCAATTTACTTAGCTTTGAATTTAAAATGCTTAGCCGAAAGGGAAAAAATAGGAATTGTATTGATATATGTATACAAAAATCTAATAATATGATTGAAACAATAAATTGCAATAAATTACTTTTAACTCTGATGTCACTGTATTGCAGCGATATTGTGACATTGTACAGAAGAAGATAATTAAAGTAACTGAAGAAATGAAATAACAAATTAGGGATTTAAGTATTTCAACTTGCTTTTATTTATTTTAATGAATTTTAATCTTTCTTACATTAAAAAAATCGTAATTTATATATGCTGTGTCTAACATTAGACCTCCCTAAATTCAATGGATTACTATTACAGAAACTTATGTAGCTTGATCTGTAAACTGTACGAAAAAGAAAGACCAAGCATCATCTTTCTGTAAAACTTCAGCAGACATTCACATATACTCATTTAATAACGCTCATTATATTAATCCGGTAGCCTTATCTTCAGTTTTCTAAAGCATGCCATGGCAATGAAACACATAGCAAGAGAAATGAGATGCTTACCTAGCGTGATACATACTTACACAGAAGAAAATCAGAGTAAGATCCAACACTTTTTTTGTGATCAGAAATGAGCAGAACGTTTTGATTACCGCTCAGGAAAAGCCATTCAAATAACAAATGAATGCCTTTTCATCAAATAATCCACAAAGTTTGTTTATGCTGTCTAATGTATAGAAAACCATAACTTGAATAAAAAAATACTTTAGAAAGCATTTTTATTATAAAACTGTATTTTTGACAGATAGAATAGTTTTTATAAGAATTTGCTTACAAGGAAACTTTTTCGTATTATCTTTTAAGGTGTGCTCAAGTTCCCAGCTGGAAGTGATATTATAGCAATGAACTTCTTCAGTGATAGTTACATATCTGGATCTGGATTCAACATCGAGGTAACGCAGAGACGAAACACGTGTAGAGTTCCTGCTTCAGGTAACGTCTCGTTAATTCATATGATGAATAATTATAATTTTCTTGTTATCACTGATTATCGTTTTTTCACGACTCATAATTAAGGGTAGCTTGTTTTCAATGTCATAAATTTCATAATTAATAAGAATAACATTCATAGTTTTTAAGAAACTCGATGTAATGATTGATTTATTCATTACCATAACATTTGTCACAAAGAGTTACAATAAATAACTTTTAATGTAATAAGTTTTAAAATGCATTTTTACACAATAAAAGTACTTAAATACTCTTCTCGATCAACTCTGGAACGGCAAAAAATACTTTACATAGTCTTTAATACTTCGGAATGAATAAATTTTTGGAATTAGATCAAAACTCAGATTACACTCTGCATCTTCACGATAGGATTGTTATAATGCATAGTAATACACATTGGGTTTTTGGAATATTATATACAGCGCTCGAGTTGAAATATATACAGCATATAAGTAGGAAACCAAAGAATATCTTAAGCACTAAAAGATAAAAAGAAAAATTTAGAGTCACAGAGGTTTCAATACCATGATTAACTACGATATAGAAGATAGAACACTTCGTTAGATGCAGATGAGGAAGTCGAAGAATTCCTTAATCACTAATGAGTGCAAAGAAAACGGCAAACTCTAGAAGTCAAACAGAGCATTATGTAAAGAATGCACATAACACTTAGATATAAATATAAAGTCGAAGATTATCCTTACCATTATCGAATGTAAAGGAAAAGGTAAACTCTAGTCAATTACAGAAACTTCAGTAATTTAGAAATCTAAAATATTTGATTTACAGCTAAATTAGATTTTATCAAATTTCATTATATAAGATGTTTAAAAAATTCGAGTCACTTGATATCTCTTAAACGACTAATTGCAGACCCAAGTTTCCAGTAGAGAAATTAACCAAATAAGGTTAGGAATTTAAACAATGACAATGTTGATAACGTGATATATTTTAGTAAAAATGAAAGAAAACTAAAATTTTTTAAGGATTCGTGAAAGAAATGTGTCAGAAAATTATTATTCATAACCGAATTAATCGAAGTAAAAAAATACAAAATTCCTTCCTCATTGCAGTTGAACTTACCCAAGACTTCGTTACTTAAACATTTCGGCGACCGTATTAAAATTATGCTGAAATTATCTGCGCATTTTAAACTTTCAAAAGAATTTTAAAAAGATACCTTTTATATTGAAAAGGTATGGTTTTAGAAGCATTCTTTTCAGAATACCGTTTCAGGAATGTTAAATTAAGTTTCGAAATATCATACTTAATCAAATTCTGTTTTCTAAGACCCAAAATTATCAATCTTTTCTTCGGATGAAGAATAATATAAGTTAAAAGAGTTAGAAAATTTTACCACCAGTTTTAACATTAAATAATTTTTCCATCTTTCGAAAAAGATTATAGAAAGCAGGATAAGAAAGTCTAGCTGGTAGCTTTCATTGCAAAGTCACCTGCAAAAATTTAAATTTCGTGCACTTATTTTAAAGAGTGTCACGCAACTAAAATTATCATTATCTGAGAGTTAAGTCATTATCTGAAAGTTAATTTCTTATATTGTAATCATAGATCTATGACCAACCGTTCGAAAGATATCTCTGTATAACAAAATTTAATACATTTTTGTTATCGATACTCCAATTGTTGAAATATAATATAAAATCTTTTGCGCTGATTTAAAATCCGCTTAAAATATTTTACTTCCTGGGATTACTTTTCTATTTATTAACTTTTTATTTTTTACATACCGTTATAAATATGAATAAATCGTTGCAATTAATAATTATCGACTATAATAATTTTCTCTTTGATTTTTTCGATATTTTTCTTCTGGTACTTCACTTTCTAGAGTCGATTAGCATTTTTAGAATCCATTTTCTTCTATAAAATTATTTCATCATGTATATATTCTGCTAGAAAAGTTACCATTGTTCATCACTTAAGGTATTTAGGATCTATACAGAAACATCAAGAATGGATTCCAGAAAAGGTTTTTCAAGGGATATATTACACTTCAATACCTTGAATTTTTCAGAAGTGCACTAATAAATTCCTTGTAATATTCTACTCTTTGATTACCTAAGAAATTTTATTGCACATTTTAACTAACTTTTACGCATCGCATTCAAATTTATTCAATAAACTTCCAAAATCCTTCTTTGAAGACCAATAAAGTATGCTCTACATAATTTTAACTTTAAATTTAGAGCAATTTGTTTTCAGAAAGCTTAAATTCTCTCCTCTCCTACACATTAATTTCGTCTGATGGAAAGCAGAGACAAGAACACTTGTAAGGATTTTAAGTTTTACTAACGTTTAATTTTATTTTAAAACTTTACTATCCTCTCTTATTTTCCATTTTCGGCCAGAATAAAAGCGAACAAATTTAGTTATGCAAATTAAGCCTGCAAACTGTTAAGTACACTCATGTCCATAAATTAAGGATAATGCAAAATCAGGCAAAGGAAGAGTTAGAAGCAAAAATTTGACTTATTTGTAAAGCTTATTTATTAAACAAAAGGTAAAGAGCAAAAAAAAGATGCTATATGTTTGATATTATTAAAAAAATTAGCGATTTTTTCTCCCTGGAGCAAATTAAAAAAAAAAAAAACCTATTTACAAAAAAACAATATTACATGGTTGGTATGATTGTTAATACATTGTATGTCTCCCAGACGATGCAATACAGTCCGTACAACGCCTAGGCATGCTGAGTATCAAATTATCGATCTGATCTAGGGAGATATTACACCACTCAAAAAGCAATGCTCTCCGAAGTTCCGGTAGACATGTAGGAGGAGGTTGACGGGCTGCAACTCGTCGGCCAAGCATGTCCCACACGTGCTCTACTGGATTCAAGTCCAGTGAGAATGCTGGACAGTCCATACGGCTGATATCCTCCGATTGAAGGCATTCGCTTACGATGTTTGCACGGTGAGGACGGGCGTTGTCATCCATAAACACAAATTGTGCGTCCATGGCGCCCCGAAACAAACGTACATGTTGTTCCAGAATGATGTCCCGATAGATTTGGCTTGTCATGGTTCCAATTTGAACATGCAGGTCAGTTCTGGAACCCAGAATAATTCCACCCCAGACGAGCACTCCTGCACCACCGTAACGATGTCGTTCAATGATGTTTTCTTGGTGGTAACGGGTACCTGGAGCTCTCCATATGAAAGTCAGACGAGAATCAGACTGAAAGCTAAACCTGACTTGTCGGAAAACATCACACAAGCCCACTGTTGCAGTGTCCACAATGCATGCTCTCTACTCCAGGCTAACCGCAGGCGACATTTACTTGCAGTAAGTGGAACGCATCTGACAGGTCTACAAGCATATAGACCAATCTGCCCTAAGCGTCCGTACACGGTCTGCCTGGAAATTGTCGTACCAGTGGCTGAAGAGAGCTGACGAGATAGGTCTGAGGCTGTGCTCCGCCTGTTTCGTTTGGCAGTAATTGCCAAATACTGGTCCTCATTCGGCGTTGTAACTCTGGGGCGACCTGTGCTGTAACGAATACTCACATTAACATCATCTTGGAATCGTTGCAAAAGCCTGGAGATGACACTCTGGGCAATTCCAAGTTCGTCTGATACTTCCAGTTGGGTATGCCCACATTCCAGACGGCCGATAATTCTACCACTTAAAAAATCATCCAAATGCCTCCTTTTTGTCATAAATGCTTATAAAGCGCCCTGCGAACAATTTTACTTCTTTGCCTGTATTCTTTATATATCACTCGTCATTGTGACTCGTCATTCACTTTATATATCTCGTCATTGTGACGTACCATCGGTGTCATCTGGTTACTTCCTGAAATTTGCATACGATTCTTGAAGATGTGTGTAGTGATTTTTACAGGTGATATATTTATTTTAGAGTTCGATTTCCGCGTGACTCCGAATTATCCTTAATTTACGGACATGAGTGTATTTAAGTTGTGGCTTTTAGCCAAGAGAGAGAGAGAGAGATAGCCTTCTCGCTGCCTTACCTCGCGTGCGCTTCTCTCAGTTTTTCTCTGCCTTTGAGGCCAAAACTTAGTTCTCTTTGAAACTTGAAGACATACTGTAGTTTCCGCATTTTGCTCACTACATACGTAAAGTTTCAAAAGCCAATCTTCACGTTACTAGTCTCTTTAAAATATCTGAATTTAGTTCTTATTTAATTTAGTTAGTTTGTAGTTCTTATTTTTACGTTTCAGAATAAAAATACTGGTCTTTCTATCCCGAAGTGTGGGAACAGCTGTAAACTGTGAAGAATAAAGGGTAATTAAACCCGCCTCATTTGTGTTGTATCTTCTATACTTGCACGAACATAGTTTAAAGTAAACTCCCTGCTCTTACTCAGGACTCCAGTATGTTTGCAAAAGCAATTAGAAGAAATAGTAGTCCTGATACACTTTCTGAAAATGCATTATGGGCTCAGAAAATACATTTTTAGAACCATAATTAATATCTTACTTTTAGGCTAGAGCTACTTAATATAACGTTTTTCCTTTTGTTTGCAAGCCCATACTTACAAAAATTAACAATATTTTACATATGCAAGTTGTGGTCAGTTGAATAAATTATCACTTCTAGTTCTTCATAGACTGTTTCGCATGGTTTATACCACTGAGACAAGTTTAATATTTTCATGTGGCTTTTGTATGTTGCAGTATAAGGAAATGACACTCATAAAATAACTTTTAAACAAAGAAGTTAGCAAGAATGCTTTTAAGCATGTTTCGAGAATTTTATGATGAGTCTCCATTCTTTAGGATTACATACGTGCTCTAAAATTTCAGTGTTGAGAGTACGTCATTGTAATGAACAAAGTATCTTCTTTTGGAAAAATGCTGCTTTAAAATTAGCTATTAGAACTTCTAATCAAACCTTCACAATTCTGTCCCCTTTCAAGAGAGGCTCTAAGCCCTTAAATTTCACTCCAGTATCTCAGTCTGAATTTCCAATAAATGGAAGTCGCTAAAATTGAAGTCTAACTGGATACAATTATATTGGGCTGAGAAAGTTTGAAAAAATGACCTTTTTTTGAAAAACATTTTTTTGAAAAACAATGTCATCAATAGAAACGAATGTGTCAATGCTTGTAAAACCCGCTTGAAGAAGCTGTTAACATTCTAACCGAAATAAGAGTTTTTGAAATGACATAACAATCGTTATAAAAGTTTTTGGTTTGAAACGTCTTCAATCAATTTTTTGATGACTATTTTCTTAATAGACGCAATATATCCCTATCAAGTAACTGGATGCGTAGTCCTTTCCAAATGTAAGTTTAGAGACATGTTTCTATGTAAGTTTAGAGACCTCTTTAACTTTACGGGAAAAAGAATAACTTCTTGAGTTATCTTGTGACAGTTTTCTAAAAGTTACTTTTTAAGATCACTCTTTAATTGACTTCTGGCTCAGTCTCACAAATGAATCTATGTTTTGTCAAAAAAAAAGTTTTACTGCCTTTTGTAAAACGTATCTATGTGAGAAAAGATTTTCAACGTACATTTACCTGAAAGATAAATACAGAAACAGATTAAATGCAGAACAGAATCTAAGACTGAAACTGTCAGACATTGAGCCAAGCCTTGATTTTCTTTGTTCCATCAGACAGCCACAAATATCTCATAAACAGCTCTTTCAGATTAAACATATGCTTAATTAAGAACTAGCGGGTTTGTTGAATTAATTCTGAATTCATTTCCTTGTACCTATCATTACAGTTTTTATTCATTCTTGCAATTAAATGTTTTACTATTATGTTTCCGTTTCTTTACATGAACTGTTGTGAAACATGTGAAATTCTATCAAACTTTATTGTTTTCTTACCTATTACTAACGACTACTGAAGGGGTCTGCCAATTTCTTTAGGAAAAGGTTGGGAACCACTGAAATAAACCATTCCAATCCAATCTTACTCAATCATTGGCTGCTATACAACTAATGATAATTAAATTAAATGAATTCAGCAAGATGCATTAAATGTTTCATTTTAATCTGAGATACAATCTGTGTCATTCAAGCTTGTCACTTTTATGCATTAAAGTTCAGATGGTTCAGAAAATGGAGAACGTCTAGAAAATTAGTAAATTATTTTGAAGAAATAAAAATTGCAATATGCGAATTTTAATAAATCAGGATTTTAGAAAAATTTTCTTTTTATTTAATAAAGATGATTTTTATTGATTTTTATCATCAATTCTATCAACCATGTTATTCAGCCTTTAAATATAAAAAAATCAGAGCTGGTGGAAAGAACTGGAATCTGAGAATAAAAACCTAGAGACGAAGAGTGAGGGGGAAAGTTTTAGCATATATACCTATTATAAGAGTTATACTGTGAAACAATTTTGTTTATGAAACTTTCGATATAATTGTTTATTTTAAGAATATATAATACATTTTTTATATTGCAAGGAGTGTTCATATTTATTTATTTTTTCATTTGCAACTCCCTGAATAGTTCACATTTTTGAGCTAAATAAATTATAGCATACTATTTGCATGATTTCTTTTTGTATGTTTACCTGTTACGCTGTCTGTCTCTCAATCAGTAACTTAAAAACTCATTTATTCATTTAGAAACAGTAAATAATCATAATTATGATAAAGGTACTTTAGACAGAATTGAATTTCATATACAGTTCAAAATAAAATTTATGTAATATCTCTGCTAATCTAGGATCTTTTTCTCAAGTCTGTGTTTCATACGGCATGTTTCGCTTCTCTACAGATTTATCTATTTATTCCCGATACATACACCGATGAAAGTAAATCTCATAAAAATCTAATCCCAAAACGCAACAAAGCTGGAATAAAAACCAATTGATGCCGGGAATGAGGAGTCAATTTTCACTCTTCTTAAAATATTTTAACCTTAACAGAGAAGAAGGAAAAAAAGGGACTGACACTACAATTTTTCCTCCAAAAACATACTGTTATGAGTTTTACCTCGGTATCCTACAAACATGTGCTTATATTGTTTAATAATTAATTCAGCCCTAGAAAAAGTCACTGTCATTTAAAATTTTTTTAATTTTTTTCGCTTTTTTGGAGTGCTGCAAATCATGAGGAGTGGGGGAAGGATTTATTATTATTATTTGTATAGAAATCTTTTTGTTTTCCATTGATTTTCTGCAAGGAAGCTATATATATCTACAAGTAAGCCAGAATTTTATGTAGAATGCAAAATTGAATTTACATTTAATCTTTATTGCTGTTTGAAGTCACAATAGCAATGCAATAAAAATACCAGCTTTGCAGTTTCGGTTGGAACTTTGCCACATTTTCGAGTAATCATACACGTCAGTTCAAAAAGACATCTATACATGCATGCAGCAAAAGCTTACAGTGAAAATAGAATAGGAAATATGAATTATCTTAATTCAAAATGCTAGAGGATTTGATATAATAAACAAGAACATTTTAAATCTTAATTTTCAGCTTTCAGAGTGCCGAATTAAAGCAAATAATATTTTTATCTTTCAGAATGTGGAGGAGAGATCACCAGTTCAGCAGGGCGAATCACCAGTCCAGGCTATCCACGTTATTACACTTCAGGATTGAGGTGCCAGTACAAAATCCGGCGTCCAGATCCCAGTACTTGCACTGTTGAGTTGGATTTTCGCGCCTTTGATGTTGCCGTGAGTGCTGGCTGCAGTGAAGACTACCTGCAGTTGCCAGATCAGAGCAGGCTCTGCGGCAGCCAACCAACGCCAAGTAAGATTTGCTGCTGTCTTTTTACAGGAAATTTTTATCATGAATATGTGATGCTAATATTATTGACACCAAAAGACTGTAATTTTCAATTAACATAACTTCGCATTTTTTAATTTCCAGATAAAGATTATTTTATCGTCCTCTAAAAATATGTAAAAGCACATCCCCTTCGACGCGAAGACAAGGATAAAAAGCATTTTATACTTGATTGCGTTTCATAATTTATTAAATAAAAGAGGCAAGATCTTTTATTATATATAAATTCACATGAAATTAAGTTAATCATGAAAAAGCTAATTGCTTTTAGCAATTTAAATTCTATAAAAATATTATAGGTATGTTTAGGAAATTTATATTTTAAAAAACATAGATATAAGAACTGCAAGCTAGTTTAAATAACTAGAAAATTTCGATCCTTATTCCGCACTGTAAGGAATTTGTCTTCCTCACTATGTCCCTTTGGGGCGAAAATAATCGTACGCACAACAAGCAATCAGAAGATCTAAAGTTCAAATCGCAGCGAGGACATCAGTGATATTTCATATTTTCTGCTTCGTAAAGCCTAATAAACTCTACAGTATCGTATTCAATAAATAACAATTTCAGTGCAATTCAAAGACGAGTAGAGGTACAAAAGGGGGAAACACCAGAATTTTAGCACTGGTCGAGCAGGTATAGATCTACCTTAATAACTGCGTAGATTTCCAAAATTTTGATGGAGAACATCCCGGGGAATAACCCGAGGATCTACTACCCCTTATCAGCAAATCACTCGAGAGGACTTTCGCCTAGCCAGTATTTTTCGATTAGCCATTTAAGTGCTCCCATGCCACGCAGACACTATAAACATCTATGCCTTCTTTGGGACTCAAAACCGGGTTCATTGCTACAACAGCCAGCGTAGATAAGGACTATAGTGATCAAGCCGGCCAGAACGATCTTGCCTCGAGAGCGAAAATTATTTAATTTTTTATGAAAATTATTTTATAACTTTTACTTCTGAAAAAAAAAAAAAAGAATGGCCTGATTCTAATAATGTTTCCATTTAAATCATTATTATGATCAGCCCGATATAATTATCATTTGCACAATCATTTAATGTAATCAAGTATAATTAATAAGTACAATTAATTTAGTATAATTAATATTTAAATGATCTATACGTTTGATACAAAGCTGTTTTTCTTGTTTTTTTAAATTAAAAAACATGAGTTTTAATAGATAAATTATAGTTATTTAAACTAGCTTGCAAGATATGCACTTGCTGAAATTAAATTTCACTTACCAGGAATTAATTTGATGAAAATATATGAACTTAGCCTAAATGCATTAATATTACGAAAACTTTTTACATGTAAGCAATCAAATGGAGAAAATTCTTTTTTTGAGCATGACTACGGTCAGAAAATACAATAAATTGTTCTCTTTATGGTCCAGTGATTCTGCATTCAGAGTATTTATTGTGTAAGTTGACTTTCAGAGTTCATTGTGTTTTCACTTTCCTCATTAACATCACCCTTGGCACATACAATAGATCTGACCTTTTGCTTCGTTTATGGTTCTTCTGAGAACTATCAAAACACACGATCATTAAAAAAAAGAGAGGAACTTTGTGTGGTGATAGGTTAAAGGCCTTAAGATAGTTTTCAATTTAGAAGAGATGACAAGGCAATGATTAATTAAAATTTTGATAATGACCAAAAGTCTCGTGTTGAAGATGCGTCTTGAAGATCCATGGTAAAAGCGATAGAGATGTATCTTAAATATCCGTGGTAAAATTTAAAAGCCTTGGTTACGATTTACATGACAGAAATTTGAAATGAATTGTAATAGTAAGCAGATATTCAACTCAAGCGTAAGTTTCCTTGTAAATTTATTAAAATACATGTAATGAATTCTTTCAGACTGAGGAGAAAAGGAAAAATATTTATATATAATGCGCATTGTGAATTACGAACAATTTTTATTTGTAACTCATGATATTACATGTTTTCCTATAATTATCCGGGTACAAGATTCAAGACATGTAGCACAATCAATTACAGCAGTAGCATAATAAATGCGAAAGAATGGATCTGAAGCAAACCATGTAAAGATTATCAATTGGACATATAATAAATTATGCTTAAAATCGCACTAATTTTAATAAAGTATATTATTAAAGAGTAAATTAAAGATTTAAATTATTTTGAAGTATGTTTATTGTTTTTAAATCACTCAGTCTGTTAATAGGTAGAGTTGTCATTTGAAAGAACATTAATCTTGCATCATGTTGAGTAGCAACACTCTGTATCGGAATGTAGAAAAGAAAGATTCGAAGTATTTTCGCAAAGCTTTATATTCTTGATGGGTCTGCTTTCAGTCACTATGCGAATTAATATTTTGTAATTCAATTGTCTTTTCCGCTACTAATTTCAATTTACCTGAATGGTAGCGCTGATTAAATGCGTTACTGAAACTCCCCCATGTGCAGAAATCACTCTGGGCCTGTGAGAAAGCAAAAATATTACAATTAAAAATACCTTACTACAATAAATGTGGGACTGCCGCTCAGATGGGAAAGTGGTTAGTGACTCTGTCATACTGAAGGGCCAGGGTTTGAATACCGGAGAAGGCATGGATATAATTTGCCCGTTCCTTCATAGGATACAACAGTGGCTCACCTATTAGGTGCCTCCATAGTACAGAAACCACAACTTCCGGCCTTAATATTGGCCAAAGCCTAAATGTCTAGAGCTCGCGATTAGCGGAAATGTGGGACTTCTGTATAAAAACAAGCATTCATATGTTGAAACATGATCATTCACTTCCAAAAGGGAAATATTGATGATAAACTTAGCTTCTAGGAATTATTACAAAGAAATTGGAGGCCATTCTTGTTAATATAGATTTACAAAAAAAATCTCACACATAATAACATAAAGGAACTAAACCAAGCAAACGCAGCATATACATTTTGAGATAATCATTTTTCCAAGTATATCGGATACAAAGACATGATCTGTATGAGACATAGAGTTACCGGCTAATCAAAAGAATTTCCTCTTCGAATTAGTATACCATGAATAGTCTCAAGATAAATTCAAAGTATCTTGTAGCATTAAAAAATTTTGGCAAAATTATATGTCTCCAAGATATCGCACACCCCACATCCATTTTTTCATAATACAATGAAGTTTTGTATGGATCATGTAGTTTCCTGACGGGTCACAAGTAATTGCTTTGTTATTCACATATTTTAATTTGGAAACAAGTAGAACATCCGAAAAAAATAATATTCAGAATATCCTCTTCTTCGTTATTAATGACTTTTTGCAATCATTTGCAATTTGCAACATTCTTAGCATTTCAGTTTCTAAACTGCGTTTGTATTATTTGCATTGAAAAGCTGTCGCTTCGTCAGTGCCCTATGAGCGCTGTTGTACGTCTTTCCCCGCCAGGCAGTGTGAAATTCTCGTATCATCTCTTTGTAAATCCTTTTTCTTCTATTTTTTCTAAGGAATGGAAAAGAAAATACCTTCCTCTAGCTTTTCATCTGTTTACAGCGTCGACCTATCGCTAACCATGACCTGGTTTAGGAAATTTTTCAGTCAACCACCTCACTGCTTTAGGAAGAGATGCTTCAGTATTGGGATATTTTTCCCTGGTTACATTTTAGTTCATTAACTACTCATGCGACAATACGATTAATCAGCCACTGTAATCTCCAGGCTGCATTCAGACTATGGTTTAAGTATTGCTAATATCATAATCAGAAGTTGCAAACATCTTCATAATATGTCCACCGGAAAAAAAAATCTCAGGATTTACGGTCAATTCAAGGAAGAGAAACCCTGTGCATCCTCTTCCCTAAAAAAATTGAGGATTTCTGAGGCCCAGTGAGGCACTTCACTGGCAAACCTTAATTTCTTTTAATTAGGCATTTACGATAAAATACATTATTACCACGAGAAAAGGTTAGTTAGTTCCGTATTTTAAGACAATAAAAATTAAAAATTAAAAATTTTTCAACTTTGTTCAAATGCGACGCTTTTCCTAAATCCAAAAAGGATGACCCACCGTACATTTATAAAGGCAAAAAAATGACGTTACGTATTTCACTGTGATTAGTGGTTTCCTTTCCCTTTATAACACACGTGGTTTAAACTTTAATGTTTAATTGATGGAATTTTTAAATCACATACCTCATACCAGTGGTTTCAAATCGGCAACCTGCAGACTTTGATAAATACTTTCTTCTTCTTCGATGGCTCGACAGTCCTGGAAGGACCCTGGTCTTTCCCAGAAGTTTTCTCCAGGCATCTCTACTTTTGGCAACCGTTTTCCAGTTTTTAACTTTAAAATATTAAGGCACATTAATATTAAAAGACTTTTTCGGTACAATCAATCTCCATCTTAATAAAATCCTCAAGTGAAAATTTAAAATTTAATTAAAACATTTTTATAGTATTAACAAAAACTTTTTATTTTATTTTAAAAAAATACGACTTGTCATCAACTTTCAGATTGTGCATTCGGCTCGTATGAATTTGTGTTTAAGATCACTGACTTATACCACGTTCGAGGGTGTCACGAGGTCTAATTGGCTAGCAATGAAGTTCTGGTTATGCTAATCTTGACAGTTATACCATAATCTGTATATTCCTAATCTCGCTAGAAACTGCTTTGTTCAAGGATAGACGTTATTCACGCGACAGGACGCGCATAAACTAGCCCAAAACTCCTACCACAAAACCCTGCTATTTAGAAAATTGCACATTATCTGATTAGCTAATACACTTATTGTTTTATATTCTACACTTATTGTGTTTCTACGAGTTCGTGGATTTGGAGTGACTGACGACAACACTTGAAGAAGAATGAAAACACAATTAGCCAGTATTACTCAGAATAGCTCCAAAAACACGTTTGCAGTCGTCGAAAAACTACGACAAACACGCTGAAACAATCAGCAACACAGCCTTTAGACTATCAGGCTATAATAGTGAAGATAGCTTCATGGTTTAAGCTAGCTAAAGTACAGCTCCCAAATCGGTCCGATTGTTCTCGGAATTCAACGTACTCTCGAGACTCTCCTTGCTACAACTCGCGACGCACTCGACGATACATTCGACAATGCACCCTTGTCGATGCACTGACTCGCGATACACTCGACACTAGACTACTACTCCGCGTGCAAGCAGGGTTTATGTAGCTTTTGGCCTGCCTTCGAGAGCATTCTGGACCAAACCGTAAGAATTCCAGAATGTTCTCCCTGTGTCTATGGAATATCGCCAATTTTATCGCCAAATCGGCGATTTCGCGCCAAATATGGCAACCCTAAACCCGCCTTGCGAGGAAGCTGTCTTACTGCGGCTGGATATTTCGTAACAATATTTATTTATTACCGAATATCAGGTAGATAATGACTTTTAGTTCATCTCACTTTCTATCTCTAGTCAGTGCCTTCATGAGAAGTTACCCTTTAATTAAGTGGGCATAGTTGCTGGCAGCCAACAACACCTTGCTTGGGCTGTGCCTTCTGAGAAAGATTAGGGTCCGAAGCGATATTTAATAGAATAAAATAGAAAAGGCACATTAACGTGGCTCTAACTTAGATTGACTAGGCGAAAGATGTTTGTTGTGTTACTAAAAGTCGATAAATGTATCAAGAACTTATGAAATGAACATTTCTTTTGCCATTAAAGCTTTGTTATCCTGTACGATGTAATCCTACAATGAAATCTTGAAAAAGGTTACAGCTTTATCATACAGGATGATTATTAATGCATTACATAATGCAATAGAATCCATTCACCCGGAACGCTTATTGATTTCTTCCTACTCAAATAAAATTCCGGTTGTTGTTAATTTATTTACATGTTTCTAAAACTTTTGCTGATTTAAATATAATAGAAAAGAATATTTTACCATTATTTTACAGCAGTTTATGTTACTTGCTTGTAGATAGTTATTTTATGTCGGTAAAAATAATGTGCAATTTAACATTAGTTGAACTGAAATAGGATATATTTTGTTTTACTCAAATTCAAAAGTAATGTGTGTCATCTTAGTTTAACATAAAATATAAAGGAAAATTCATGTAATTCAGTTTAAATAATATTCATAATTTTTTTAGTTGAAATAAAAATGGAATGTATGTTTTAGAGGATGAAAAATAATTTCACTTTTAATGTTGTCAAAAAAGTATGTTTCTCGTATTCCGTTTTACAGAAATTAGGATATTTTATTTTTAACTTTTTAACATTCATTAAAATAAAATACGATAAATAATGCATGATAATATTGGCTTAACAAGAAAAAGCGCAGTTATTTGGATTTTCCGTTTATTTGGATGAACTGCGTTTCCATTTACTCAGTATTAACAGTTCTATTGCATACTTTTACACACTAGGATCTTATATCTTTTCAACATAATGTTTAACCCTCTTGAACTTGCTAATGCAAATAATAGCACATCTTCTCATTTGCCTCATATTTCAAATTCCTTTACAGAAGCACTGGACTATTCTGCCTTTGGAAGTGATGTCATGACGTTGACTTTTGTAACAGATTCCATTGGGGCTGGGAGAGGTTTTGATATTGTCGTACGCCAGTTGCCAAATTCTTGCAGTATTCTTCCTCCACCACGTAAGTATGATTTGTCAAAGTGCCAAACGTGCTATGTTCTCTTAGACTAATAACAATAATCAAGGATAGCGGATTTTCAACCATATATACATAGTGCGAAGTCCGGAATCCAGACGTCCAGTATCCGGAATGTTGTTTTTAGAATTATTTTTATTCTTTACGACTGAGCATCAGGTATTTTTCATAATAAAACATATAGAGAAACCCGACTTTTAATTTCACATAGGCACTGATGTCGAATCATTATTATTATTATTTTGCTTTCATTACTGCATGACTATCAAATCACAGCTTGAGAAATAATTCATGCAACGATGTCTAAACAATTTTGCTTAATTTTTTATTTTTTATTTAAAAAATTGAATGCCAAAGAGCATAATAGTCTTTTATGTTGACATTACGCTTGGCGATGATTACAGCTAATTCTGGTGCGAAGTTTTTAGTGAGCTGGCGAGGAGAAATTTAGCAGAAATATCTTTCCATATGCACAAACAAAACAAAAAATGCAATTGTTAATCATAGGCCAAAAGATAACATTTAATACTGTCTGAATTGAGAATAACTGATTTGTTATTCAAAGACCAAGACCAGTGCCAGAGCTAATGAGACCGAACAGACTGGCAGAATGTAGGGAAGGTCAAATTTTAGAATTTAGAGAAGCAACGAGCAACAAAATTAAGGGCCGATAAAATCATTAGAATTTAGGGAAGGCAATGGGACTCAAAATTTGGAGGCGGGAATTTAGGGAATTTCGGGAGACGCTTTGCGGCAGAATTTCGGACCGGCAGAGACTGACCCGTGTAGCAAAACGTCTAGCGTCGGCCCTGGATGAGACTTAAGGATATGAGGAAATTTATTTATTCCGGATTCAGCTAATTCTTGAGGCATGAGTGGGAAACAGACGTAAGTATAGTAAACAACTAAACAAATTTAATTCAAGTTTAACTTTCTCAAAGCTCGGTAGAAGCAAGACAGAACTTAGTGGAACAACATGTCTTTAATTAGTGGAGCAACACGCCATTCTCATGATACATTGGCAATGCATGATACATCGTGTACAGCGGATGCCAGCTGAGCTTTGTGAAGGCTACAAATCTGAAGGTTTTCAGATATCGCAAACAAAAAGCGAAATTTTCCAGTTAATGGAATTTGTGAAGAAATGTGGAGAAGTGGTAATAAATGAAGATGCTATAACAGAAGTTTGTCATTGCGATGATAATGTCCCAATCATCAATCAACTAACGAACATCGAAATCTGCAGTAGGGTTTTCTAAATCTACCGATAGCGTAGAAAGTGGCAGAGAGGCTACTGAGAACAAAAACATTTCGATTGAGAATTCTCCGACTCAACAAATAGGACTTGAACAGCTGAACTTTGTAACTGAACAAGAAATTATATCTATTATATAATGAACGAGAAAGTATTATCATATTAAACAACAAACAAAGCAACTTTAACCACTTATATTGAAAGAAATATTTAATATAGCAAACAAATAAATGTTGAGACCCCTTTTTTCGTAAATTTTGATTCCCTTAGGTCGTAAATGCTTCATTATTTCATAAATCCCCAAGTCATATTTCATATTTTTAATTTTATAATTTCTACGTGTCATCTTACTAGATTTAAACTGATAATCTAACGTTCGGAAAAATCTCTAATCCGGGATCGCCGAAGTCCCTACGACTCTGGATCTTGGACTTTATATAATATGAGGCTTTAGAACATACTATATTTGATTCAGGCTCTACGAGACCATAGTACATGTGACTCGAGGGTAGGAGAGACGATGCTATAGAAGAGGGCAGTTTGGGGAGCCGGTAACTAATAATAATAATGAAAAGTGAAATATGTACATGATATATATAAAATGATATAACGAAACGGTATATGTGAGGTTCTTAAAAGACTTTGGACATATTGTAAGGATCTTAAGTTTTACTAACGTTTATTTTATTTTAAATCTTTACTATCACTTCTTATTTTCTACTTCCGGCCAGAATTATAAGCGTGAAGGTTTTTATGCAAAGTTTGTCTAGCGAACGCCAAGTATTTAAGTGTGGCCTTTTTGCCAAGCGAGAGAGAGGAAGCAGTGAGTTCGAAGCAGGCCGCTTACCTTAGAAGTTACGCGCAGTTGCTGTTGCCTTCCAGGCCAGAGGTTTTTAATCCTCTTGATAAATTAAACGTATTGTAGTGTTCACAGTCTCTGTGCTACATACGCTTCCTGTTATTATAAGGCCAATCTTCCACGTGTATTATTCTAAAGTTAAATTAGAGTTTAGTTTTATTTTTATACTTTTAACGTTAGACCCCGAGTGGCGGGTCATTGTATTCCGAAGTACGGAAGTATTGTATATAGAGAAAAATAAAGGGTTTTGTATACCCTTCGTCTGTATCCTGTCTACTTACTACAATTAGTGAACATAGCTTTAGTAAGCTCTCTGTTCCTAGTCAGGTCCTTGTATGTTCCCGAAGAAGGTTAGAAGGAACAATTGAACCTGATAGTGGCGCCCAACGAAGAAGAATAACCATGGCCGAGTTTCAAGAAGAACCTGTGCTGCCTGCAGAAACGGCTCAGAATCCAGAAATGCCAGCTGCCGCCCTGGAAGGATTCGGTTACATCGTCCAGACCATGCGCGCTTCGATGAAACCAGAAGCAACATTTAATGGAAACTCACCGGTAACCAGTTTTTTTGGAAAAATTGGATGACCACTTCATGCTCTACCCCGTGCACGAGTTTCAAAAAGTTACCTTAGCTACCAGCGCTTTGAGGGGCCAAGCGCTTAACTGGTTCAAATGTATCGGCAGAAGTCTCTTGGGTCAAGCAGGAAGTCCCACCTATACTTACGAAAATTTCAAGACTGCCCTACTAAAAGCCTTCCCTGTTGTAAGGGATCGTGCGAAATTAGAAACGGAACTTTTCAGTATATATCAACAAAGAATCGAAAACCTCTCGAGCTTTATTTTAAGAAAAATTCACGTTTTCAAGCTCTTGTATGGAAACCGTCCGGATCCTGAAATAATTCAAGTGATTTTGCCGAGGTTACTGCCCCAAGTGCAAGACTTTATTGAATTAAGAAATCCGACTACACTGGAAAAGTTATTTGAGCTAGCAATCCAGTTTGAAAGTAGAAGAACGGCGGACGTCGAAAGAAGACGCCAATATCAACAGCGAAACCAATTTGGTACGCCAAGACTACAGCAAACTCAAGCACACGGCTACGGAGAAAAAAGCGAATCAGTGGGCAAGGAAACCCGAGCATTCAAAAACAGCCGGCGAACGTCGACAGTTCAATAGCAACCCAGGAAAAAAGTCTCAAGGCCAGTGGAAAAAGAAGGAAAGCACGGAAAGGAAAAATAATTTAAACTAAAACGGATTTCTGCTGACGAGAGGGTGCGGAAATCCGAAGGCCACGAAAACCCCTCTTCCTACAAGTTAAATACAGTAATGGTGAAAAATTTGACTCTTCCGAAGATTGAAGTCTTGGTGAATAATATCCCAGCCACCGCACTCCTGGATACCGGCGCGCAGTGTTCCTGTGTGGCAGAGGAGTTTTTTAGAAAGTATTTTCGCAAATACCGCATATATAATGCGGATAATACAACAGTGTTAGCGGCGCAAGGAGAAAAATGTAAGTGCGTAGGTAAAGTACCTTTGTATATCCGTATCAAGGACGAACAAGTAAAGGTGATGTTTTTTATAGTAAAGAATCTGCAAGCACATTTAATCTTAGGAATAGATTAAATAGATTCTTTCTTTCTTTCAGACGCACAAGCTACACTGGATTTTAATGAAGCGTCCCTTAAGCTGACAATGAAACCAGTGCGTGTAGAAAAGGTGAAAAGGCTGAACCGCCAAGGTTAAATCTTGACCACCTGCCTAATGACGAGCAAGATAGAATCCGACAAGTGGTAAGTGAATTTGCTTCGTTATTTAGTGATATTCCAGGATTTACTCAGGTTACTAACCATAGTATTGACACCGGAGATGCATTGCCAGTTCGTCAAAAACCATACCGGTATGATAAGAATAAGGAAAAAATTATAGAATGGCATATTACCGATATGCTACGTAAAAAGATCATAACGCCCATCTCAAGTAGTTATGCTAGCCCGGTGGTTTTATGTAAGAAAAATAATGATTATCCTTTGGAGCATCCAAAAAGGTGGAGATTCGCTATTGATTACCGTAAATTAAATTCCATAACGAAATATCCGGTATATCCGTTACCGATCATAGAAGAAATTTTAAGGAACATAAAATCAACCAAATTTATGACGACTTTAGACTTAACGACTGGTTATTTTCAAATAGGGGTTAGGCCTGAGGACGTGCCTAAGACTGCTTTTATAACCAAGTCTGGCACTTATGCATTTTTGCGTATGCCGTTTGGCCTTTCAGGGGCCCCGGCAACATTTCAGCGATGCATGGACATTGTGTTAAGACCTGTTCTTGGAAAGTCCACATTTATCTATTTAGACGATATCATTATTACTAGTGATAATCTCGACCAACATGTACAGGATTTAAGACAGGTGTTTTCTTTATTAAATGAGGCCGGTCTAAAAGTTAATGTCGAAAAGTGCAAATTTGCAGCCCCTGAATTAAAATATTTAGGTTACAAAATATCTCAAAAAGGGATCGAGACAGATGAATCAAAAATAATCGCTGTACAAAAGTATCCGACTCCAAACACGGCAAAGAAGCTCTCTTCTTTTCTAGGACTTTGTTCATATTATAGGTCCTTTATAAAAGATTTTGCGGCTATCGCTGAGCCATTGTTAAAATTAAAAAGGAAAAAGGCAAGATTCTCGTGGACGGCCGAAGCCAATAGTGCTTTCGAAAAATTAAAACAAGCATTAACGCAAGCCCCTGTGTTGAAATTTCCTGAAAAGGATGAGAATTTAGAAATTTCAGCGGATGCTTCGGATTATGCGGTAGGAGCGGTACTTTCGCAAAATCAGCAGCCCGTGGCATTTTTTAGCCGAACTTTAAAT